ATTTTAGCTAATTTCCCCTAAGATGCAACAATATTGAGGCCTTCTCAATGATTATAACACTGTACATTAAACATCAGAAACATATTTGAATTCTCTATCTACTTTATTACTTACATAGTGAATACTTCATTTCCCCCCCGAATTTACACATGTTCTGCCTGAAACAAATATATTTTTCTACTATATATTTTCTACTATATATTTTTCTACTGTTTTTCTATATATATCTACTTCACTGATACAAATATGTCTGGCATCATCAGAATCACTGGCTTAGAGTCCAGCAGTGGAAAGAACACTGTTCACTTGGGATTTTAACCTGAAGGTAACGAGGAGAGTATTTGTACGTTTGACATAATTTCTTAGCTTTTGAATTTTTTTTTCAAAAATGACAATGTCTTAACTGACAAAAGCATGTCTTTAATCAGAATATGGTCTCTTTCAATTCTAAGTTTATACTGACCCCTATGGGTTATTATATCCTAATCTAATTCTTAAAATACTTAAACACGTTTACATTTAGGATTTAATTATTTTCGGATGAAAGCCATATAATATTTTTTATATGTTCTTTGTCTCTTTAGATTATGTAACATAAATTATGCACCAATATTATACATCCTTTGGGAACTTATTTTGGGGGGTCAAGATATTTTAGTCTTCATTAGTTTTAGCATCGATTACTACTAAAGACAAGGGAACTAAGCAGTATAATTTCTAATTTCCAGAAAAATACGATCTGGTTATTTTCCTTAAAATATGTTCCATTCTCACAATATTTCATAGCTATATTCCATTTAAAAGTTAACTTTAAAGTTTATATAGAAATTTGTAGAAGGAAGGAAGGATTCTGGGACCGAAGGTGAGTCTAGTGTCAGTCAACCTTGATGGAGGAGCACTGATACTAGTTTAAACTGAGAATTTTTGACATTGATATGAAAGATTCTAAACCATATTCATATGGATTTCAATAGGAATCATAGGGGGTGGTAAAGAATACAGGGGGTGGTAAAGATTATAGATCTTTATTTTCTTTATGCTAAAGATACGGTTTTATTGCCAAGCAGGCAAATTATGAAACCCAAATTATCATTTTTCATAAATATTTTCTCAACACTTAAATGACTAATAACCCGTAAGTCTGTATGTCAGAGTAACTTATTTAGTCACAGAAACCTAAACCATTCTGGGATTTACACTGGTTAATACTGACTTTATGAATCCATTACTGAAATTTTTACTATGAACAGGATAAGCTTGGTATCTCTAGATTTTTTTCAGGCTAAAATGATTATATCTACGCTCTAATTGGGACTTCAATTCTTTTTTTTAACCCATCTGTGAGAATGAACCTGGAACGTCCCTTGAAGAAAACGCTAAGGCTGCCTATAGTATTCCAGAATTTCACACCCATTTCTGTTCATGTCTACTCTAATATGTGTCTTGGTTTTTATTCCTGATTTTCCCTATAGGATTATTAATTTTACATTTCACTTACTAGAATGTTAAAGTTTGTATCTTGTCCTTAATTGCCAGCATGAGAATTTGTGCTGAAATTTTGCCAAAGAATATAACCTTGAATTTTCTGATGCCACACTCTGATCAAAGTTTAGTTATTAAAAAAACGCTAGAGGGAGGTGCCTATGGCTCAGTCAGTAGGGCATCTGGCCCCAGATACCGAAGGCGGCTGGTTTGAACCTGGCCCAGTCAAACTGCAACAAAAAATAGCCGGGTGTTGTGGCAGGTGCCTGTAGTCCCAAGTACTCAGAGGCGAGGCAAGAGAATCACCTAACCCCAGGAGTTGGAGGTTGCTGTGAGCTGTGTGATGCCATAGCACTCTACAAGGGCGATAAAGTGAGACTCTGTCTCTATAAAAACAAAAAACAAACAACAACAACAAAATGCTAGAACTGAAGAAGGCTGTCAGTATTTCTTAAACCTTTATAGAATTACGTGCTTATGATTTCCCAATAAAAAGATTACCAGCTCATAAAAGGGGCATTATTTGCCATTATTTATTCATGTAATTCTGTAACCTAACAATATCACACCCAGGCACAAAAGGGTATTACTTCTGCCAAACCCTATCTATGAACAACCAAAATACAATAGGACATAGTGGAATACTGAAGGTAGATCAAATTGATCAGTTGGTAAATAGTCAAGAATTTGAAAAAATTACTTTAAAACTGTTATGGCTGGGATTCAGCCATGCTGGGAGTATTTTATACAATGGAAATCAGCAAATGCTACATATCAGGGCTCTCCAGACCAACTTAGAGCCACTTTACCAGCATATCACTGAGTACATTTCTACTTCACACCATACTTACAAATCAGTTTTAAATGGATTAAAAACATAAGTGTGAAGAACTAAGTTTAAGACAGAGGAAAATACCTTTAAAATCTTGAGACTAAGAAGAAATTCTTAGAAAGAAATAAAATCATGTAACTTAAAGGACAAATTTGCTAAATTTGAATACAGTGTAGTAATTTTTAAAACTACACTGAGGGATCATCAAAGGATACAGCACAAAGGTGAAAGAACAAGACCAGATTGGGGGATGATAATTGCCACACACATAGCAAAGAATTCATATTCAAAAATATACTTATCAAAAATGGGCAAAAGACTTACAAAGAAATTTTTTTACAGAGTAGGGTGTCCCAAGGACCAATAAATAAAGTTCTCAGCCTTACTAGTTATGAGGGAAATGCAAATTAATAGCATAATGAGACAATTCACTTCTCCCATGTTTGTTAAAATGTGACAAAACCAATTATTGGTAAATACATACGTGGGACAATTCATATAATGTGGGAGAAAGTGTATACTGAGAGAACCACGTGGAAGAGCAATTTCCAAGGGTCAGTAAATGGAAGATACTGTACAGATTGCTGGTTAGTCCCAAACATCCATTCATGATGTTCATGTCTTGGGGAGGAAGAGGAGCAAAACAATCAGGAACAATTCTCTTTGTACAGTTTCATTTCTTGAGGACAGTGGAAAGTTCAGAGTTATGACATCATTCTCTTAACCTTTTTATAGGTCTACAATATTTCAAATGGTAAAGATGCTTGTAGTTTATTGGGTGATACACACCTACCTCACTTTTTGATATGTTGCATTTAAATGCTGATCAGGCATCCAGATGAATCCTCTTACGGAGATGAAAATGTGGGTCTGGAATTCTTTCTGGAAATTCTCTACTACAACCATGGCATCCCTTCCTTCTTAACTCACTTTGGTAGATGCTTTTGTGGTATCCTATACTGGTAATTCCCCAAACTGTTCTCCTAAGGCTTATCACAGAACAAATTTATGCACAGAAACTATGATCTTTATAGTTAAGATACCACTATTGAATTTATATATGAAGCAGTCTCATACAAAGTATAAATTACCATAGGCTTTCCCAAAGAAAAGACAAATCTCCTAGTTCAGAAGTCCCACCTGAGTAGGAGATCTTTAAATGAACAACAAAGATTAAATGTCAACTAGGCTTCATAAAAATATTAACATATGTGGGAAGCAAACGTCCATATTATGGATCACAACCTCATATCCTTCCCAAGGACATAGACCAGGAAATTCCAGGGAACCTGAGGAAATTACCTGAGACACTGAAGTAGCCCTTCAAGTTGAGGTTATTCCTATTCTAGGTGGGCAAGCCACAGAAAGAAACTACTTAATTTTGTTAGGGAAAAAAGAAAAGGATACTAGCCTGTACTGATTGTCTACACATGGTGCTATCATTTATAAGAGCATTCATCAGATTTAATCCTCACAATTCTGTAAGGTAGGTATATTACCAACGAGGATGCCAAAACTCTGAGTTGTCAAGTATCTTAGATAGATACTTTAATAATTTATACTGAAAGCAGAGTTTAAAATGAGAGCTTGGGGTAAAGGGTGTATGAACAAAGGGAAAAGGTACAAACTAAAGTCAATTTGTTTCAATGGTAAGGTCTCATGTAACTCTACAAGATTTCGTTTTGTCTTCCTCGGTCCTGAATCTTCAACTATAATCGCAATATAAATCACTTTAAATTTTGTACCTCATTAACTCCTGGTTTTCAAGTTTTCATTTTCAAGCACTGAGCAGGTAACGTTTCAGAGATTTTACGTTCAACACGTCCAAACTAAACCCATTATCTTTTATCCAAGATATTCCTAGTCCTTCCCTTTTGCTCCCTGCAAGTAATGGTTACGGGTCTTCCAGATTCCTAGGTCTACCAGGAATTTTTTGTAGATTTTATGACACTTTCTTTTTAGCTGTGAAACTCTTTTCCCAGAGTATTTTCAAGAACCAATTTTTTTAATAAAAAATTAAAAACTAGACCTGTCTAATAAATACATTCCCTGCAGATGTGCATTGTCACCAAATACGTGTCACACAAGTCTCAACAGCGCCTGACATTCAAAATCTATTCTATGTCTGAGTTTTTATGATTAGCATGTCTCATCTAATTTAAAATTTTCGAATATGCAAACTTCTTTTAATATTTTACTAGGCAAGAAATAAATATGCCTCAACGGCAGACAGAAATGGGTTAATACAAATATCCCACGAAAACTTGTCCTGGGTAGCAGGCTGCAGGTATAGGTCGCGAACGTTAAGTAAAAAAGTAAATGCAAAAGTGGAAAAAAAGGGAAATAAGTGCGGGTGGAGCGGATACACACGGAGGAAGGTGAAGCAACTCCCGCAAAAGAGGTTACGAAAGATTATCAGATGTGGGAGGGCAAAACGTCCACCAACCCCTCAGCTCTGGGCCCGACTAATATCGGAATTCAAGTAAATGGTAAAGGGTTTTTCTCACGCGGTGTTCGTAATCTGGCAAACTACCGCCGGCCCTACGTTAGCCACAAGGTTCCACCCGGCAGCTTTAAGGAGATTCCCCTGAAAGGAGATTCACCGGCCGCCGCAGAGCAGACACAGCCCGGGCTGCGCCCTCGGCGCGTCCCGCTCCCGCCCCGCCCTCAGAGGAAGTGACGCAACCGAGGGGTGGGGCGGGCCCTGCGCCGGAAGTCCCTGCAGATAGTAAATAAGCCCAAAAGGCGAAAGTGAGGCTGTCTCCATCTTGTCTGCGCCCGCTGGAATTCGCGACGTGTGGAGATGGGGAGCGTTCTGGGGTTGTGCTCCATGGCGAGCTGGGTAAGGTGGTTTTTTTGCAGCCTCCGGGGTGCTAGCGTGAGAGGCGGAGGAGCGGGCGAGCGGGCTGGCTAGCGCCCGGCGGGAGGTGGCACCCCACCCAACAGGGAGGATTTTCAGCCCCCATGTTCTTTTCGTGGCTCTGGTCCCTCCGATTCAGCTTCGGGGCCTTGGGTCTTGCGAAGAACTGACTGTGTTGGCGGTGAGGTGCAGTGGCGACGGGAAAATGGCCCAGTGAAAAAGTCGAGGGGGCAGATGCTGCTCCTCCCCCGTCCCTTGGCGAAAGCAGTCTCCTCGTCTTTTCAGGCCCCCCCCCCCTTTTTTCTTTTGTATCTGCCTAGGCCATCTTTATAGAAATCTTTAGTTCCTTCTTTCTGTGGAGAACCCAGTCTTTCTCGTCATTTCTTCCCCGGCAACCGCAGACTGCAGCACTGTCATTCCCGGAGGCATGTCGGCATCTTTGTTCTGTGGCGCAGACTATGATTAATAAATGCCGGATATTTGGGACAGCCTAGCGGTAATAATTGATGCAGTAATACCATTTTTTAAATAAACAGCCCTGGCTTCTCCACTGGGTCTTCCGTCTTAATGATAACTAGTCAATTACTGTGGTTCTCAAGTAATAATTTTTGAACCTGAAAAAGCTGGTCAGTTCTTTGGTATTAAACATCTTTTGTCTTTAGACATAAAACGGGGTGTGTAATCTGAAATTTCATGCTTAATTAGGTGTACTCTGCACTTGCAGCTACATTTTCATTAAAGAATTGTTAGAGTAAAACCATTTCATTATAGTGGCACGATTTCTTGTTGCAAGTGGCACAGTTTCAGTTTCCTTTTTCAGATAACTGCTCCCTCGTCCATAATAGGAGACAAAACATTTACAGTACAGTTAATTTGTAATTTGGGGCTAGGTGTTTAGTCTGATTTCAGACTTCCATTTCTAACAATTGTTACCTGATTTCCCCAGATTTCACTTTTTTTATGTATGTGTGTATCAGCCAACATGAGTATTTTACATACCTTTTTAAAATTTTACATCTTTTCAAAAAGATATTGATATTGTTTGAACTGTAAATATTACATTTTAATAAAATAACATGCAGGTGGTGTTATTCCAGCCAGGCTATCCATGATTCTATTGTATTTATTTTTGCAATGGGGTATGGAAACCTTATCTCGATAAGATATTATAGAGTCTACTTGAGTTGATTGACTGTTTTGTACAAAAGAAGAGTATTTAGTTTCATAAAGAGTATTGAAAATGAGTTATTATTCTGTACGATTGTTTTCTTTTTTGGAGATGAAGACGTCATGTAATTTAATTTGTAATGTCAGATTTTATCTAGTATCAAATGGGCCTGTATAAAGTAGTTCTTAAATATAATAGAGATTTAAAAGGAGGGATACATGTTTTCCATTTTGTTTCTAATCTCCAGTTCAGTGATGAGCAACCTTTTTTGTCTGAAGGATTATGATCATTAAAAAAAAAAAAAAAATGGGTTTTAAAAATATTTGTTCTTGTATGTGTTAAGTCAGAAAATAGCTTTAGTAAACACCATGGAAAAAGTTGTATTCTTGTAATACTGCATGTCGGATCACAGCCTCTATTGATTACAAGAATGTCCATGATAAAACTGATACTACCTTTTAGTCACTATTAATACCAAAGTGCAGTAGGAAAGTGTGACAAGTAGGCAGCTTTCTTCCAATTAGATCTCTGGAGATAGAGAAGCTAGGTGGCCAGGGTTGCTCATCATACTTTTAGGTCATTGTGGTTGATCAAAGAATTTATTTTATTTATTTCTTTAATTTTATTTTTTCATTTTTATTTATTTCAGAGGAGAGGATCTCAGTGTTTTACCCAGACTGGAGTGTGTTGGGTATGCATAAGGAGAGTCTTAGCACACGCAGCCTTTAACTTCTGGGCTCAAGTGATCTTCCCTCCTCACCTTCCCCAGTAGCTGGGGCTACCAGGGTGTGGCACCTCAGCAAGTTTAGAATTTATTTTAAGAGTTTGTAATTTTAGTCATTTCTACCCCCCCCTTTTTTTCTTCCTTGTGCCTTTGTCTCTTTATTGATTATTCAATTTTAGTCCAGGTCAATAGTACTTGAAGAAGAATTTGCCTTACAGTAAACAGATCACCTCTTCCACATTCTTAACAGTCAGTATTACTTTGAAGTTTTGATGAAATTAAAATATATTCAGATTTTCAAAAGCAGCATTCACATCATTAAATTAGATTAGGTAAGTCAGAATTCAGAGCAAATCAGCCTCATGATTTCTTCAAGTTTATGTAGGCCTCCTCAAAGTTAATGATAGTTTTTTCTTATAAAATATTAGAAAAGTACTGAGATATTAAGAGAAAAATTGTAAGAAATAACCATTGAGGGCGGGGCCTGTGGCTCAGGAGTAGGGCACTGGCCACATATGCTGGAGGTAGCAGGTTCAAATCCAGCCCCACCCAAAATAAATAAATAATTTTTTTAAAAAAGAAATAACCATTGAGATTACAGTGTTACATTGTTGATTTTTTTTGTGTGCTTTTTCAGAGTCCTAGAATTAGATTGACCATAATCTTTGATTCATGAACTTTTTTGATTCATGCATGGTTGAATCTTCTTTTTTTGTAATTATTTAAAGCATTGTCATAAGCGTCCCTGGATCTTCCATATTTTTGTACTTTTCTCCGTCTCATTCTCAACATTGGTATAAGTGAATAGAATTGATTTTTTTCTTTCTTTCTTTTTTTTTTTAAGTGGCTGGACCTTGAATGCTGTAACTTATATTTTTCTCTCATCTATCTAATGTAGTTAAACTGTTAACAAGAAAGAGCTTGTAATTTCTGTGTGCCTGTTTTGTGCCAGCTTTAACTAGTTTTTATTAATACAACTTGTTTTGTAGAAGTGATTCATAGTTGCTACTAATGATCAAGTAATGCAGAATGCAAAGGAAGTAAAAATGTCCCTCCAAAATCCCACCATGAATAGCATCCTTCTGTCTCAGTGCATATGCATGTGTACAAATGGTTGACTAGACACACAATACTTTCTTAGGAATGGTAGCATGTTAAACGCATTTTAAAGCAAAGGATTAAATCTCATTTTTCTTGAGTTTAACAAAGGAAAACAAATTGGAGGAATTACTAAATGTTAAGTACGCATTTCTTCATCAAGAGATTCTTAAAATTCCTAGAATGGTTCCTCTGAGGAGTAATTTTCAACTGGCTGGTTTCCTCCAGAGGAAATGCTTTTCACTCCCAGAGTGCTGCATTTGGCAGTGTCTGCAGACATTTTTCCTTGTCACAAGTTGGGTTGAGGAGCGCCCCTAAGATCTAGTGGGTAGAAGCTAGGGTGGTTAAATATTCTACAATGTACAACACAGCCCCCAACAACAAAGAATTATTTAGTCTAAGATGTTAGTAGTGCCATGGTTGAGAAAGCCTGTTGTAAGTTTTAAGAAAAGTTGTATAAAACAATGAAATTGGAGTAAATTTTTAAAGGACATTTTAATTTTAGACTTGCTGCTATGAAAGGTAGAAATAATTAATATTCCCTTATCCTCCTACATCCTACTTCTTATTAACTGTATAAGTTTTTAATTCAAAAGCAGATAGTTCTGTGCAGCTTAATAAAAAACGGTACACTACTCCCATTTCCACCTTTTTTGGAGGCAGTGTTGCTTTAGGTGTTCATCATGACATTTCTAAGTAACATGTACATGGTATAGCCTTGATTTTTTTTTTTTTTTTTTAAGGAGAACAGGGGGTTGTTTTAGACATTGTCTCTTAACTATGGTAAATGAAGATTAGCAACCATCCCTTGATTTCAACTGGCCCTACTCCCCAGACCTACCAAAATCACATACTCATGATGTTCCCTTATAATACTAATAATTTGGTTCAACAAACATTATCGTGACTATTTAATGAGCTGATATGTAAAACTATAGTAAGCCCTTAAATATGTTCTTTGGTATTCTTATTACTTTGTAATGCCTTTTGTAGTTTAGCCATGTAATAAATTTGCAGTGACATTTCCTTTCATGCACAGCTTTTTCTGTTCGTTGGAGTTACTGCCTGCTTTATTTTCTATGTTTTTAGTTTGCTTTCCCCAGCTGTATACATCTCTCTGTAACTTTAGACGGCATGTGATAATTAACCTTGATGGTTCTTTCTCCTGAAATCTGTTGACCTGCTCTAGAATGTACTGGTAGTTACTATTTTTATCCTGGGTCTCATTTTATCCTTAAATAAAAGATATTTATTGCCTTTGTTGGGTTGAAAACTTTTTTTCTGCATTTCTTGTTCTCTTTCTTGATTTATAACTGTATTTTGGTGTAATGTTCCTTGAAAAAAGAACATAGGAATTACACTTTGGGCTAGAATTGTAGGTTGAAAGTAATTTCCCTCAGAATTTTGAAGGCATTGCTCCTTTGTAATTCTGACTTGCAGTGTTGGACTGTGCTGCCAGCTATTCTTAGGGAACTTTTCTATGTGGTCTCTTCCTCCTCCCCATCAGTTGATTAAATTTGAATTCTTTAATTATTTCCTCATCTGTATTTTCTGTAGTCTTTTATTCACAGTGCTTCTTGGACTGAAAGTCTAGGTTTTCTTATTTCCTGTTTTTTTCATCTTATTGGCTTTTTGCACTATTTTCTGAGAAATTCCTTGATTGTTTTTGGGACTTTCTTGAGTTTCTAAACTTCTGCTGTTATTTTTAATTACCAAGAGTTTTTTCTTGTGCTTGTTTCATGGAAACACTTTATAAGACACTCTGTACTGTATGTTTTACTTAATACAGAGTCTGATAATTAAGTTTGTGAGGTCACCACCCTGTGCTATGTTGGCAGCACTATGCAGGCAACTTGGTAAGGTTTGAGAGACTTGGAATATCAGTGTCTCAGAGCTATGTTTGTGTCAGCAGGTGGCTGTTTCTTGCTGAACAGTGGTCAGTGTTGTTGCTACATGTTTTTGTGTGCTGTCACAAGAATGTTGGAGCTTGGG